AAGTAAGTAAGTAATTGGTGATACCACAACCTATACACCTCAGCTACCTTTGCCAATAACCAGAAATGATGGGAACTTTAACAACAGCTAGAAGGCTACAGGTTGCCTGGTTCTCTCATAAAGCTAGTAAATTTTGTTATCCCATGCATTAGAAATGTGGAGGCAGGGCTGAGGCGGAAAGGCAGAAGCTTACCAGTGCTCTCAAATGAATTCACAAAAAAAAAAAAAAGATGTCACATAAAGAAGAAACATTTCATAGCTGCTTTTCCTAGCCATTATTCTCCACCCGCTCCTGTGATACAGGAGAAACATGTAGCTGAATGAGCATGGCTTGCCTGAGAAACTGGAATTCTTTGTTTAAAGGTCAGTCTCTTCACCCAAATGTCAAATGTTTAATCAAATGTCTCATTTCCTCAACTGCAAGTTCATTTCAGCGTGTTTGCTTCAATGTACAAATGCAGCATACACAAATACATGATAAAATGCACAATTTTTTTCATGTATTTGTGTTTGCTGTATTTGCACACTAAAGCAAACACATGCTGAAATGAACTTGCAGTTGAAGAAATGAGACATGTGTGTGCCATTTTTATAGGCCCTTTTCCTGGAGAGTGTACATTTTCCCCTCTCTAATATTAAGACATTTTGTGAACAATTCTCGAGATGCACATCTCTGCACTCTTTTCCTTAAAGTGCACACTTCTGGATACAAACTTAGCTGCAGACTGGACTGCAAAATTTCCATGCTGAAGTTTGTTCTGGCATCCCTAAATTTAATAGCTCTGTATAAGAATTTGTGCCAGACCTATTCTTCCTAGTGTCCTAATAAGGTTCTCCTTGAAGTCACATAGTAACATTCTAGCACCACCTGGTGATTTTTTTCAGGAACTCCTGACAACCAGATTTCTATGTTTTACAGTTGGCCAGCCAACATTTATGGATTTGATTATTCACAGAAGCAATTAATATGGTTTCTCTAGGAATCCCTAGGATTATAAGTAATAAATTGGGCACTTAGGTTTGTAACGCTTCCTCTCCCTCACAGGGAGAAAAAAAATCAGAATAAAACTGAACAGAGGTCAGGAAATATGATTCCTTACAGGTCCTTACTTTGCCATGTATAACATCAGCCTGGACTACAGAAAGTAACAGCTTTTATTTCTGTGCAGTGAGCAACTTCATTTGGTCATTTCTATGGATTCGACTAATTAAAAGCTTAAGAGTAGACAAGGTTCACTTTTAAAAAAATCTATTAGCAACCCAACCCATGCAGGAAGCAGAGTCAGTTCATGCAACAAAGACTGTAAACCAAAAAAAAAAAAACCAACAAAAAAAACGTGGAGCCTGCAGTGCAAATAACCAATTAGCAGGATGCTATAGAATGAGGAAGATAAAGCGAAATATAAAGAAATATAATACTAATAATATAGGATATAATAATATAAGACTCGGCTTGTGCCAGATTAAAGGTAGTCCTAGTGGTGATCGGCACACTGGCTGCAGTGCCTAAAGACCTTGGCCTGCACTCATAAACAATCAGCTCTGACAAAATCACCACCTGTCAGTTGCAAAAGGCTACCCTACTCAGATCTGCACACATTGTACTAATGTGTACTAATATTCTTGTGTATCAAATAATAATATAGGATGTAGGCTGTTAGTATTAACATGTCAGCTAGAGAGGAATTGGCTGTTAGTTCAACAAATATTCAAAATTAAGGAACAACTGGTTGTCTAGCTCCCTTGTTTTCCTGTTTTCCAAGCAGCTCCATTGTGGGGGAGTAGTAGGCTTTTTAATTCACAGGAATGATGATGTTTTAACTAATATTTTGATAACTTTTATTGTTAATGCTGCTTTTGTGTGTTTTAACTTACTCTGGTTGCTATTTATTTTGCTTGATGTGTTATTATTTGTTTCTTTTGTTTCTTGTATGTTACTGTTATTCATTTATGTTGTGAGCCACCCCAAGTCCCATGGGGCGAGTAAAAAAAAAAGATGATGATGATGATGATGATTACCGATACTCCTCTTGTTGACTTGCACAGAAAAGTAGATTAACAGGTAGACATTTGCTACAAATTCCATCACCTGATCCATCAGTTCTGCCATCCTTTGCTGCAGAATAGAAGATGTAATCCACCGTGACTGAGCTTCTAGAGTGGCAAGTTGTTACTTCTGGAATTCCAGTTTCAGGAAAATAATGAGAGTAGACTGAAGACAGTTGAAAACTGTGATGTAAGTCTGTTGGTAACCTAAAATGGAGCACAATGTTTGAGAAGCATCAGTGTTTGCTGTAACACAAAATTCCAGATCAAGCACACTAGAGTTACTCTCTGCAGACTGGGACAATTCCAGATCATTCTGATCACAGATACACTGTTCTGTCTCTATAGAGATCATGTGCAGAGAACAGCATCAGTACAAAGGGGAATAATGTGTACAAGCCCAAAGTACATATAGCAGCATTTTCCTGGAAATGAGAATTTCCTCAGTCCTTAATAAAAGTGTCAGGGTAATTATACTCTCAGCAATTATATCCTGGAGAAAGTATGATGAAATCTGTGCTTAACACTAAATTAGTTTAGCATTTATATACACAAAGCCTGAATCTGCATGATTCTTCAGTTTCCTCCACTCCTCTCATGTTGGAGTATGACGATGACTAGAATATTGATACATCCAAGCTGGGACAAACTCTGCTTCTTCACGTAAATATTACATTATGTTCTAGCTTGACACTTCCACATATCAAATTACATTAAATGATGAATGGTTCTCTTATTCTTTTCTTTTTGTGGGTACTTTTTGATATATGTGTATATCTTATATTCTGTTGCTGGTACTGAAATTAGTGTGTCTTACTATCAAGGGAATCTTAGAATTGATAAAATACGCCATATCATTTATTAATAACACAAGTTTTAGCTCTATGTTTTAAACACCAATAACCCCCTTTGAGCATCAACAAAACAAAAATATGGCCAGAAATTTGCTTACAAGACAGCAAACAAATAATTTGTCAAAATTTACCTATCTGTTACTATTAGGATATCCTCTGATTTTTTTGAACTTTCTTCTTTAATCTCTTTTTTTTCTGGAAAAGAAAACGGAGCATCAAGCACAGTTTGATAGGTCACTATTGTTCATGTTCTCCAATATCTCTACACTTAATAACAGCAGATGTCTAGGGTATCGGATAGAAAACTTTCATACCATTTGTTGCTAAATTTAAAAACAAAAATTAAAAAAAAAATCTTATAAATATATTGGGAATTGAGTCCGGGACTTTCTACATCAAGACTGGAGAAAGTGTAGCCCTTGAGATGTTACTGAACTACAACTCACATCTGTCCTAATCAGCACAGCTAGGAAAAAAGAATGCTGAGAGTTGCAATTCGGTAACATCTATAGTGCTACACTTTGCTTGTTCTTGTTCTGCATCAGTGGTCTGAAACTGTATTAAGTCTGGGAGCTGAATTTTGTTTATTCAAGTGGGAGCAAAAGTAAAAGGATGAACCTGATAGTTTAAAGCTCTTATTGCTGATACCTCAACCTAAGTAGAGTCTATAAATTTTAAATCGGGGAAATAAAGAAAGTTGGAAAATGGCTAAATGGGTGTGATGGGGAAGAAGTGTGGCCTTTGGGGAGGTATGGGCTGAATTTGGATCCAGGGTTTGAGGTTCTCTAATCTTGTTCTAACATACCAAGGAGGCGTTCTTTGCAACCAATGGACCTCCTTACTTTGGTGAAACAGACCTATGGGTTGTTGCTTACCTATCAACCTCAAAGTTGGCCAAGGGCTGATCTGTAGCTGCTTGGCTACGATATATTGTTTCTACTGAATATACTCTGACGCTGATGTGTTCCCAAACAATATGTGTTATTAGGTCTAAGTTTTATACTCATGAATTGTTTATGTTTTGTAAGCCGCCCCGAGTCCCTTTTGGGAGATGGTGGCGGGATATAAATAAAGATGATGATTTTGTATTATTATTATTATTATTATTATTATTATTATTATTATTATTATTAAATACAAACATTACTGGGGGCAAGATAAAATAATTACCAAGCCAATCCAGGTATCAGTACAGATATTTACCTTTCTCTTTTCCCAGTTGCCTCTCCTGCTCCTCATACATACAGTCCTGAGAAATGCCAAGGCTCTGAGGCCAAATGGGGATAGTGAGTATCCTATTGCCCCTTGGAGACTGCTCCTGGCCAGATACCTTTAAAAAATCAAACAAGAACACAAAAAATTCTGGAAGGGAATCAATATTTACTTTTAACCTTGAGATAATATATATAGGCCTGGGTAGGTGAATGCGAAATGATCTAAGGCCTAAATAATCTGAAAGCATCAACTCCTGTCTGATTGCAGAAGCTAAGTAGGGTCAAGATAAGCAGTACTTGGATGAGGGACTACCAAAGAATAACAGGTGGTGTAGACTACATTTCAGAGGAAGGAACTATCAAAAACACTACTGGATATTCCTTCCTTATGAAATCCAAGGAGTTGCCACAGGCTGAAAGATGCCTTGAAGACACATATATAAAGACACAGGTACACCCATGTGGTTAGAAAGCAATTTATAATTCCTGTTTTTCTGGTGGGCCCGACAGCTCCCAGAAATGATGTTTTGAGCAACTGGAAGTCACTTTTGCTCACTAGGGCAGTGTTTTCCTTTCTTTTCATATGTCCAACAGCACATAGGGAGCAAAACTGGTTCCTTAGGAGTCACTTTTGGACATAAAAAGCAATGTGGAGCACCCATTCTTGGCTGATGTCAAGAGTACTTTCTGGACATAAACGCTATAGGCACTCAAGTGCCACTACTCTATAGTTGTGGTGAATGGATTTCCGAACATGCTTCACACAGTCCATGCTTCACACAGTCCGAACATGCTTCACACAGTTCGCATATTCCAGAAGAGTAACAGAATGGCCAAATAACATTTTAGGATGACTGCCTGACTCTACCGATCAAGTCATTAGAAAACTTTCAAAAAGGCTCAAAGTAATTGCGGATTCCACCAAATGCAATTCTGTAAGCTCCTGCCATGATTTCGGACCAAACAGCATACTTCAAAATGAATAGTGTTGCAAGCCAGGAGACACTAATTTCATCTCATGTGTGCTTTGTACCTACTTTTTCTTAACTCCATTTTCACAAATGGGTACTTACTTTCCCTATTGCCAGTCCTTCATAATTCAGCTTTCCTTCCGTTAGAAAATTGTACAGTGGAGAATGAGGGACGGAATTGAAGTCACCACAGAAGACAAGGGGGCAGAAGCGCCCGTCTTCCCGAATGGCAACATTGGAAATTTCTGCCAAAATCATGGCCAGCTGGGTCAACTTTATGTCCCCACGTCTTGGATTATACAGCAGATGTGTGTTGGCCACACAAATAGTGGCACCAGTCTTGCAGTAAAACCGAGGCTGCAAGAGCAACACCAGGCCCACATTATCCCTGTCCAAGAGCGGGATGTTGCGGCGGAAGAACTCCACTGGGTTTGAAGACAGGAGGCTGAACTTGGAGGTCTTGAAGCAAGTGGCACAGCCATCTGGTTTCCTGCCAGTCCTCATCTTATACTCACAATGATAGCCTTCAGAAAAGGGGATAAAGAAAAGGGGGGAGGGCAGGATATCACATTGTTGTTAATTTTGTAATATTGATTTGCCAGGTTGACCAAATGCTCAAACTTTCCAAGAAGATGGACCAATTTCAGATACATTCAAAAGAGTAACTCATGACTGTGGGCTACAGACAAGATCATGCAAGTAGACTTCTCATCTCCTTTGTTTATCCTTCAGGTCTACTTCTGGGGATTCCCAGCTCTCTGGAGTGCATAAGAGGGGCATGGAGTAAGATTACTTTCTATGAGGATTGCACTGGCTAACACACATTTTTGTGCCTAAAATGTTAGCCCTGTTTCTGGGTATATTTTACCTGCAGATTCCAAAAATGGCACCAGGTTTCCCTTATCAGCTCTAGTTTTTGAGATTTAGAATATAATGCATCTACCAGCTGCCATCTACTCACCTACAGGCAATCATGATAACCATATCTAAGAGACTAGAGCTTATATGGTCTATCCAAGTGGTTCCCAACCTGTGGTCCATGGACCACCATTAGTCTGCAAGAACAAATATATGGTCTGTAGCCTCATCATTACAACATTGTTGCCTCAAAACCATGCAGCAACAAGAGCGACACCTTCTTACAGTGCCGAGGCAACAGGGATGTCAGGAGGGAAGAGGCCGACTACCCACAAAAGATTACTACTACCACATCAGATCCAGATTATTAAATATGGTTTTCTGTGGGGATCAGATGGCAACTACTGGATGGCATATATTATGTATCAGAAACTGTGGTTTAGCCAGTGAGATTTTCTGAATCAGCACCCCAAATAACCAAACTGAATCTAAAGTTGACCAAAAACTGATTCACAACTCTTTTGGTACTAATGTTAGAGAGTGGTCCCTGGTCAAGTGATCCCTGGTTTAAAAAAAGGTTGGGAACCACTGGTCTATTCAATCAAAGTTTCTTCATAAGTGCCCCAAATAACCCCAGGAATAGGCCTATTGTGCTATTCTTTTCAGTGTCTGTTTCCAAGATTTGGAATTCTCTCCCAAGAGAAGCTCAGTTGACCCCTCATAGTTCTCCTTTTGTTGGAAGGCAGAGACATTTTAATATAAACCTTTTAAAACTTATCGGTATAGTCCAATGGTTGTGATGGATTTAATGTGTAAGAAATTTCGATGTGCTTTTAACTATTCTAAATGTTTCAAGAGCCTAGCTGTTCAATGCTTTTTTATTTTTTTGTATTACTGATTGCGTTAGCTATACAGTTTTAACATGCCGTTTTAATGCTTAAGCTGCTTCAGGTGCCACATGGGAGACAAGAGAGATATAAATAAGCAACTATTCTGTTTGATGGACAGACATCACTAAATATACCAGGTGCTGTTAGATATACTTCAGAGGAAGGAACTACCAAAACTACCTCTAGGTCTTCTTTACTTAAAAACCTTATGAAATTCATGGGGTCATCATAATGCAACTTGAAGGGAAACACACACATGGTTTTACAGACAAAGCTTCTGGGACATTTTTTTTTTAAAAAACCAAAATATATAGATATAGATAAAAGGTAAAAAGGGGTTGTGGTAGTGCAATGAGTTAAAATGTGAAGCTGCTGAACTTAATGATTAGAAGGTCAGCAGTTTGAATCCAGGGAGGGAGGTGAGCTCCTGCTGTTAGCCCCAGCTTCTGCCAACCTAGCAGTTCGAAAACATGCAAATGTGTGTAGATCAATAGGTACTGCTTTGGAGGGAAGGTAATGGCATTCTATGCAGTCATGCCAGCCACATGACCAAGGAGGGGTCTACGGACAACGCCGGCTCTTTGGCTTAGAAATCAAGATGAGCACCACCCCCCAGAGTTGGACATAACTAGACTTAATGTCAAGGGGAAACCTTTACTTTTAAAAGGTAATAAATAACAATCTGTTACTTATTTGAAGGTGTTTTTAAGAATGTGTGCTTTTATTTCGTATTTCATTTTATTCATTTTAATTCTTATAAGCATTTCCACCAGAATTCACCAAGCTTTTGTAAGACCAGGAGGAATAACACATAAGTAAACTAGTCATCAAAGGAGATGTTCAGACATAGAGCCCTTATAATGAAGATATACAGAACAAAAATATTTGGAGTTCATTTTGCATCCGATAAAAGGTGCAAATGTTTGCAGTGCTTTGGGATTCTATTTCGCTTGCTATCATGGATGAAACCATCAGTTATAATGAAACTAGAGCTAAAAGCAAATATGTAAAGGCATGAGTACGCTATAAACACTGTCTAATATAAAGTAGCACCTTTTTAACTTTGTAATTATATGATAAACAGGTACATATTTGGTCTGACCTTCTGGACTATTTGGACTAATTTTTATTCTACATAACAAAAATAATGACATATATACCCAGAGCTTCCAAGCTTGGCTTGATCTGTGTTCCATACTGGTCTTCTTGGACTTCTTGTAAACAAAGTACCTGTGGAGTGAAACAGGAAGAAATTACAATAAACCAAGCACAATCACATCTGAATATCCTCCCAAAATATTACCTGCATTGTTTTGGAAAGAGACCTTGAACATCACTATTACAAAGAAAACACAAAATAACACAAGCCAACAAAATCAAACTTTTTGTAATCATCAGAGATGAGAGCAGCACAGTTTAAATCAATTTTTATGCTGTTTTTAAATATGTCTTTATTTCTTTTTCCATCACGTCAACTTTTAAAAATATGACGAATGGTACATTACAGCGCAGTACTGAAAAGTCTGCACATTTCACATCATATTCGTGTAATACAAGCCAACAAGTATTTTTCATCAGATATAATTTTAGGTCATTCTTTTAGAGTTTTTTTGCGCTGAATTCAGATCTGCGTTTATTTTTTCTCCATCACGTGTAGTTTTTGTGATGAGACTAATAGAACATTTAATGCATTTACGCACTGAAATTAATTACATTGTATTGATAAATGCATTAATTATTTGATTAGCCTCAGAGCAAAAACTACACGTGATAGAGAAAAAAACATAGATCTGAATTCAGCGCAAATAACTCAAATGATTTCATAGCATTGAACCATGGCAATTAAAGTGGTTCATTAATTCTACAGTGCAGATGAACCTATGCAGACAATGTTGTGTTATGAGAAAGGAATCATTCAACAAAGAGAAATATATGGTGCCACCTAGATATCATTACCCATAAATATTAACAGGAGAAATTCCCACATATTCACTTACAATCTGAAAAATGTATTCCCTGCTACACATATATTAGCTTTCCACTTACATCTGCATTGAGTTTCTTGATCTCTGCAAGAATGTTGGGAAACCGATAGTTCCAAGTGAGGAGGTGATGTTGACAGTGTTTATACAGGTGGGAGTTGTCTTCTAACAAGTCCTGGGAAAGGATGTTGTATGACATAACAGTAAAATCAAACTTTTCCCGTGAGTCTTTATTATCCTGATTGAGTTGTGTTTCTTCTTCAATCGTCTTCATTTTTTTGCTTTGCTGACAGAAGTATTCCCAGTGTCGCTTAAGCAAACCTACTGAAAGGCAACAAAAAAGGCTTTTATTCCTGACATAAAAGCTTATGTTTTAAGTAATGATTTCTCTTTCTGAGAATGTAGGAACGAAAGACAGAAAATCTTCCTAGCAGTGGCAACAAAGAGTTCCTTTGATAGAGTATAATTTCCAGGAAATTATGTAATCCAGCTTTTGAGATTCTGGGTAGCACATTGGTTCCTTTAGGTACATCAAGAAAATTGTAAGTTAACATTTCATTAAATTTTATAGTTTGTGTCAACCCATTTATCTCTCTGATGACAGGCCAGTCTGGAAAGCTATCTTTTAAAGAAAATCTATAGCCCAGTGGTTCGCAACTTTTTTTTTTTTTTACTAGGGACCACTTTGACCAGGGACCACTCTCCAACAAAAGGGCTACGAATCAGTTTTTGTGAACTTTAGATTGGGTTTGGTTATTTGGGGTGATGATTCAGAAAATGGTATTGGATAGACCACATCAACTCTATTTTGCAATACAGAACATTTGACATCCATTAGTCACCATCTGCTTGGCCACAGGAAACCATATTTAATAATCTAGAGGTGATGTGATAGTAATATTTCGTTGCCTCAGCACTATAAGATGGTTTTGCAAGACCAGTCACTCTTGTTGCTGTGCAGTTTCAAGGCAACAATGTAGTAATGGTGAGGCTGCGGACCAGATTTTCTTTCTTGCGGAGCACTGGTGGTCCACGGACCTTACTTTACTTAGGCAATCCCTCGTAGCCTCAGGATGATGGTCCTCCAAGTCTGGTGTCTTGGCGGTGGGTTCATTGGTGAGTTTGGAGCCCTATTCTTGATCCGAATGTTCTCCCACAGTGAGGACATCTGTTTCCAGGTGGAAGGCGGTCCCAGTCAGGGTTGGCTTGATGCACCTTCCTCTTGGCACATTTCTCCCTTTCGCCCTCCGTATGTGCCTCTTTGAATTCCACTGCACTGCTGGTCACAGCTGACCTCGTTAGAGTGCTCAAGGGCCAGGGCTTCCCAGTTCTCGGTGTCTGTGCCACAGTTTTAAAGGTTGGCTTTAAGCCCATTTTAAAATCTCTTTTCCTGTTCACCAACGTTACATTTCCTGTTTTTGAGTTGGGAGTAGAGTAACTTCTTTGCGAGACGGTAAGCGAGCATTTGGACAATGTGGCCTGTTCAGCAGAGCTGAAGGAGTAGGATCATTATTTCAGTGCTGGTGGTCTTTGCTTCTTACAACATCCTGACATTTGTCTGCCTGTCTTCTCAAGAGATTTGCAGGATTTTTTGGAAGCAACACTGATGGAATCGTTCCAGGAGTTGAGTGAGATGTCTTTAGACAGTCCATGTTTCGCAGGCGTATAGCAGGGTTGGGAGAACAATAGCTTTATAAACAAGCATCTTGGTCTCCCTATGGATGTTCCGGTGCTCAAACACACTCTGCTTCATTCAGACCACAGGTTGGGAACCACTACTATAGCTGTTTTAAAATAAACAAGCCATCAGAAACAGCAAGTGTCTTATTAACCAGGGATACTAATAATTAGGCCAGAATTTCTCAAAGTGTGCTCCCCTAAATAGGACCACAGATTGAGAAACATTGAATTAGGCAATAACTAGCTTATTTTTACTAAGATGAAGTCACCTTGATAACTGAATGCTTTATTCATGACAGCAAATTTCCTTTAGATCCTCACAGAGAAGAGTTATTTCATAGCTAAAAAGTAAAAAAAAGGTAGGATAGCCCTGGGACACCTGAATAAATGATTCTATTAACTTGATTTCTACAAGGGAGAATATAAGGGCCTCTGCACTGTTAGAAAAAGTCTGTTGGAAAACTTTGGAAAAGAATCCCCTCTTCCATGCAGCCTTCTCAATATCTGATTTATAGAACTGGGTAGGGAGGGAGAGAGAGTTTCCCTCTTTTGAGTTGTGCAAGGACCCAGGTTGTATCTGATTGCGGTTATGAAATAAATGTGTTTTAGTAATTAATATGTCCCTATGAATAAGGAAATATGTTTGGTATCTTAGTGGATTTCATCACTGTTAGCAAAGTGGTGTATATATGTGGAACACAGGAAATAGTCAACACTTTTTAAATTCCACCCTTCTTTTATGAAACACAGGAACACAGTGTCTTGCAATTTTATTCTCACAACACACCTATCCGCCAGATTAGACTAAAGAAACGTTCACTGGCTCAAAGTTACCAGGTACACTTGATAGCTGGTAGTGCACACACTTAAAATATCAAGGTTGCCCTTCTGCAATGCACTTTACATTGGGCTACCTTTGTATCAAGTTGGAAACTCCAGCTGGTTCAAAATACAGCCAGATTGGTTACAGGAACATCCAGGTGAGAGCATATTACATCCATTCTAAAGTCACTCTAGTGGCTACCAATTAGTTTCCAGGCAAAGTATGAAGTGTTGGTTTTACCTTTAAAGCCCTACATAGTTTGGGTACAGGTTACCTATAGGACCAGCTTCTCCCGTACAATCCACTCCAACCAGCAAAAACCCGAGTGGCAACCACCACCCAGAGGACCTTTTCATTGGCTGCCCCAAGACTGGAATGATTTGCTGGAAGAGCTCTGACAACTAAATGAACTTTTGCAATACGAAACCTATTTGAAGATCTATCTTTCCTGGCAAGCCTACCCAGCCAGTTTTAATCATGAATTTTAAACTCACATCCTGTGTTTCAATCTTTGTTATGTGTATTTCAATATATATTTTATAGAAAAATGTTTTAATGTTTGTAATTTATAGACATATGTATTAATATGTGTATTTTATAGAATGTTTGCAATGATTATGCATTTTAACTAAGTTGGAACCCACCTCGAGCCACAAGGAGAGGTGGGTAAAAAATAAAATTATTCTTATTATACCTCAAGGTTTCCTGAAGTCTAACAGTTTATCTACACTATAGAATTAATGCAGTTTGAAACCACTTTAACTGCCATGGCTCGATGCTATGGAATCTTTGAGTTCACATTTTTGTGAGGCACCAGCACTCTTTGGCAGAGAAAGCTAGATATTGTAAACCAGGCATGAGCAAACTTCGGCCTTCTAGGTGTTTTAGACTTTAACTCCCATAATTCCTAATATCCAATAGGTTGTTAGGAATTGTGGGAGCTGAAGTCCAAAACACCTGGAGGGCCAACGTTTGCTCATGCCTACTGTAAACCTACAATTCACATGATCCCATAGCATTGAGCCATGGCAGTTCAAGTAGTGTCAAACTCTCTTAATTCTACAATGTAGATGCAGCCTAAATTCTGTAAACCACAGAACTGGAAGATGTCTTGTAGGCCATCTGGTCTAATACTCTGTTTAAAGCATTATTAGTTGGTTCTCCTTTCCTTATGTAACAAACTCTTAATGTTAAGACCAAATGATCAAGGCAGTAAGGTGCCATAGTACCTCTTGATTTTTTCGTGCTTTCTTCCTTATGTTGAGATGATGGTGCTTTGTTTGAAGAAGAGGTATTCAGGAGTTCACCAGGACTGAAAATAATGTCCTCATCCCCACTGCTTTTTTTCCTTTTTAAAGATGGCTCGTCATCCTCCGATTTCATCTTAGCAGCACACAAATGGATGGAACAATTCTGCACAAAGGTGGGGAGCTGCCAGTTCCAGGACAGAGGAAGCCTCCAGCCAGTAATGAAGTCCTGAGAATGTGTGTAGAGATCAAAAGCCCACGAATCGTGTCCGGTTCTCTTTATGCACTGAAGAGGTTGCCCATTCTGGAGGAGGCTTTGAGCAAGATTCCAGTGGAAATTCCTCTCTCTGCCCAGTCTCTGTACATGGCGGGACAGCATGGGATATCTAGCGGGGGGAAAACAATATTAGTAAGTCTTGTTGGTGCAAGATAAAGGAAGACAAATGCTCAAAGGGTTGGCTTGATGCATCTGCAGAAACCTTATTATAGTCTTCTCCAAATAACTACAAATAAGGCTTGCTAGCTAAAACTAATAACAGAATGGGACTTATTAATAAAACAGCTATACAAGCTATATGTTAAATCTAAGATGAAAATGTGGTATTTATTGTCATTTAGATACTTTGGATTGCAAAAACTTCACTCCCTTGGTGACAAGAGTTGTAGGGCAAGCCACTTGGAGAACAACAGGATTTTCACCTCTGGTCTACACACAGGCTCCCCTTTTCTATATAAGTCACCTTCAGAGCCAAACTAGGTCAATTGCATGAATTCAGTCCACAAATGTTTTGTTACACAGAACTCAATGGAAACAATAGCTTTTGAGGAGAAAACAATTTTCACCAGGACCACCGTTGAGATATCTCCTGTACTCCAATGCTATTCGGTTACTCACGATCTCATTACTTACAGAAATGTTGCACTAGCTTCATTCACAGAATTATTACTACCAAACATAGCAAAAAAGGATCCCCAGCCAACCACAAAGGAGGCACTACAAGCAGCTAAAGGTCCCTGTTTGTCATTTCTGAGAATACTCTGAAAATCTCTTTGTCATACATCTAATTAACAGCCATGTGAAGACATTAATCCAAACTAAAGAGTGCACTGTCCTGTTTATTTAGAAGTTTAGTATGACTTCTGCATATGGTTGTGAGAGCTAAACAGTGAAGAAAGTTGACTGGAAAAAAGATCAACTCATTTGGTTGGTGCTGAAGGACAGTTCCATGGAAACTTCTAAAAAGTCAAAAGATGGGTCTTAGAGCAAATCAAGTCCAAACTTTCAGTAGAAGTAAAGATTGCTGAACTAAAGCTGTCTTAGGCTCCTTCCACACAGCTGTATAAAATCCATACTGAACTGGATTATATGTCAGTGTGGACTCAGATAACCCAGCTCAAAGCTGATATTGTGGATTATCTGCCTTGATATTCTGGGTTATGTGGCCGTGTGGAAGGGTCCATAATGTGGACATATCAAGGTATAATGTGACTCATTAGAAAAGGCAAGAATGCTTAGTAAGGTGAAAGGCAGTAGGAAAAAAGGAAGACCAAATTCCAGATGGATAGACTCAATCAAGGAAGCCATGGCCATGAGTTTGCAAGATAGGGCTGTGGATGATACATTGTCTTGGAGATCTCTCAATCATAGGTCAATATAATAAGTCAATGTTGTTTTGCTCTTAGCTGCCTTCATGTCAACTTGAATGAAAGATATGTAAGTCACCCTATCCTTAATAGCCCTGCTCAGGATAATCAAATTAACTAAACATTGCCACTTTAAAAAGAGTAAGTAGCTCTCTTTAAAAAACAAAACAAACTCTGAGTTACAGGTTACTTCACTACATAATAAAGAACCCCTGGGATATATCACGTGAAGATCATGCATTAACATAGGCTCATATAACTGTTTTAGGAACTTGTGGGTAGAATCAGAGATGGAGGACAGGGGATATCATATGGAAGAATCATTTTATTGCACTACATGACCCAGCATTCTCAAGATGAACTGCGAGATTAGTTTTAATTATGAAGGAATAGCATTTTTTCCCCTCATGAAAATAAATTAGCTTGCAAACTAGCTAACATTTAGCACCTGCTGCTGGGTACCTGGTAGCTCTTACTTCTCTTCAAACTGAGACATATGTAAATAAAATTAAGGAAATAAAATAAACAGATAAATGTGTACTACATGAGAAAAATGTTTCAAGTTGTTTGGTTATTTTCTGTTTCCCAGAGTGGCTGATACTTGGGCAAACTAAAATGTTTTCAATTCAGTGGGTCCTTGGTATACACTTGGGTCCCTTCCACACAGCTGAATAAAATCCCACATTTTCTGCTTTGAACTGGAATATATGGCAGTGTGGACTCAGGGAACCCAGGGCCCTTCCACACAGCCCTATATTCCAGAACCAGTTGTACCCACCACGTGTTGCTGTGGCCAACTTTCCCTCCCTTTCTCTCTCCTTCTTTCTTTCTCTTCTTTCTTTCTTCCCTCCTTCTCTACCTTTCCTTCCTTCCCCTCCCTTTTTCTTTCTCTACTTTCTTCCTTCTCTACCTATTCTTGGACTGTAACTCCCAGCAGTCCTCCTGATTGAGCTATCTACCTAGTATCTATCTAATCTATATATCTTATCTATTTGGAGGATTGCTTGGAGTTGCAGCCCAAGAATAGGAAATATGTACAGATTGGGATGCTTTCAAAGAAATCCAAAGAGAAGCAAGCTTGCAGCTTGGAAGCAGTGCACTTGGAGCATCCTCCTATCCTAGAGGATGCTAGGAGCTGTCATTTCCGCACATGTGCTGTATAATCATTTAGCTTTTTTGGGCTTTTAAGTCCTTTCTGCTATTTTTTGGGAGGGGTTTCTGAGTGATGGTCACTCATTGATCTGTTTGGGGAGTAGTGTCCACATTTCATGTCAATTCTTCCAGTGGTTTTTGAGTTATGTTAATCCAAACATTACATTTTTATTTATATAGATATCAAGGTAGAAAATCCCACAATATTTTCTTTGAACTGGGGCCCCTTCCACACAGCGCTATATCCCAAAATATCAAGGCAGAAAATCCCACATTACCTGCTTTTAACTGGGTTACCTGAGTCCACGCTCAAATAATGTGGGATTTTCTGCCTTGATATTCTGGGTTATAAGGCTGTGTGAAAGGGCCCTGGGATTTGATTCTACAACCTTGATTCTACAAAATCCATGGAAGTTCTAGTCCCATTGTATACATGCAATCACATGCTGTTTACTAAAAGGGCATTCCTTTTAGTAAACAGCAAAATCAAGGTCTGTATTTGGGATTTTTTTAAAAAAATTGCAAGCCTTGTATGGTAGAATCTGCAACTGCAGAATTCATGAATATGACTGTACAAAAGGAGAAGAATTGAAACAGAAAGTAAACAACTGGAGAACAGTTGCCATTGACTAGCATTACAGTATGTGTGTGTGTGTAATGTTCATTTGTGGGATTAACATAACTCAAAAACCACTGGACGAATTGACACCAAATTTGGACACAATACACTTCTCAGGCCAACGAGTGACCATCACTCATAAAAACATTGAAAAACACAGCTAAAGGGTCTAAAAAAGACTAAAAAAGCAAAACAACACTACAGCGCATGCAAAAAAAACTACTCCCCCTGACAAACAAAACACACAATAGCATATCCACACACTCTTCAGGACTACAGCTCCCAGCATCTCCTAGACCAGGCCCTTTAGGAGAGGAGGATGATCCAAATGCACTGCTTCCAAGCTGCAAGCTTTCTCCTCCTTGGATTTCTTTGAGAGCATCCCAATCCCTGCATATTTCCAATTTCCTATTCCTGGACTGCAACTCCCAGCAATCCTCCAGATAGATAATTAGATAGGGATAGATAGGTAGGTAGATATATTGATGAAAGTTGCAGTCCAATAATAGGTAGAAAAGGAAGAAAGGGGAGAAAGAGAAAGGGAAAGAAAAGGTGGGGAAGGAAGAGGAAAAAGGAAGGAAGGAAGGAGAGAAAGAAAGTAAAAAGAGAAGGAAGGAAAGAGGGAGAGAAGGAGAGAAAAAAAGAAGAGAAAGAGGGGGGGGGGAGTTTGGCCACAGCAACATGTGGCAGGTACAGCTTGTGTGTGTGTGTGTGTGTGTGTGTGTGTATGAATCTATGAACCAGCTAGGGATGTTAAGATCATCTGGGGAGGCCCTGCTCTCGGTCCCGCCTGCATCACAAGTACGGTTGTCGGGGACGAGAGACAGGGCCTTCTCTGTGATGGCCCCTCAGCTGTGGAATGCCCTCCCTACAAAAATTAGATCGGCTCCCTCCCTGCTAGCATTTCGGAGGAAATTGAAGACCTGGTTGTTTGAGCAGGCATTTGAATAGGCAGTGTAACTAATATAGAAATATGGAACAATTGGATGACGAGACTTGATCTTGATTTTAACTATGAGACAATATGAGATGTTGATGCTTATTGATTGTTATAAGAGTTTATCCTTTTAAATGCTTCTTAACTGTTTTTATCATGTTTTATGTATTGTATTGTGGTTGTGAACCACTCTGAGTCGCCCTGAGGGCAGAGAAGAGCGGTATAAAAATGTAGTGTGTGTGAGTGAATATATAATTAAGTTGGCCCTTTTTGGTCAAAAGATATTTCGCCATCTGCGGTCCTTTTATTTTATCAGTTTTATACTAATTTATGCAATGCTTTTGATATGAAATAAATAAAAAGTTAATTATAATTCAACCTGATGCCTACTGTTATTGATTCCACATTCCCCAACATATCCCTTTCAGCGCACTGAACTGTGGATGCTAAGTGGTGTCAAACTGAGGGCCCTTCCACACAGCCATATAATCCAGAACATCAAGGCAGAAAAATCCCACAATATCTGCTTTGAACTGGGTTATCTGAATCCACACTGCCATATATTTCAGTTCAAAGCAGATCATGTGGGTATTTATACAGCTGTGTGGAAGGGGCCTGCACTAATCCTATAGTGAGGATGTTTCTCTCATTCCTGGGATCAGCATAAGTCGAAGGCACAAAGAGGTCTCTCACGTAAGAGGGACGTGTGGCCTTCTCATTCAGGCATATTCTGGCCACCTTTCCCCAGTGGGTGTTGATATCTCCCTCCTGGGGTGCCTTTCTCACCTCCTGGCGAGGCCCCTTCCCTCGACTCCTGGCAGTTCTCTGGCTCCGGGCTCCTTCCCTCCAAAGCGGGCATTGCAGAAGGCCGCCGGCTCCTTCGCCTTCCCTCCGGCAGCGGGAACAAGAGGCGACTCCCTTACGTCATCAAGCCCCGCCTCCCGCCTCCCGCCTAAGCCCCACAAACGCTGCCGCGGAGGCTCACGGGGGTTGTAGTTTCGCTTTCTCCAGAGCTAGAATCATATAGATGCACTGCTATCTTGACTTCCGGGTTCATTGGGCTCCAATTTTGCTTCCTTTCTAGAATTAGTGCATTTACATCAGGCATGGGTCAACTTGGGCCCTCCAGGTGTTTTGGACTCCAACTCCCATAATTCCTAACAGCAGGAATTGTGGAAGTTGAAATCCAAACCACCCGGAGGGCCGAAGGTTGCCCATGCCTGATGTGGATACACTACAGCCAATCCCTCTCCAATGCCACAAATAGAGCTTAATGGTATAACACTAGAAAATGTTGATCATTTCTGCTACCTTGGCAGCCACCTCTCCACAAAAGTCAACATTGACACTGAAATACAACACTGCCTGAGCTCTGCGAGAGCAGCTTTTTTCCAAATGAAGCAGAGAGTGTTTGAGGACTGGGACATCCGTAGAGATACCAAGGTGCTTCTTTATAAAGCTATTGTCCTCTCAACCCTGCTATATGCCTGCGAGACATGGACTATCTACAGACATCACACACAACTCCTGGAACGATTCCATTAGCGCTGCCTCTGAAAAATCCTGCAAATCTCTATCATAGTATCACCAGGGTGTTTTCACCGGAAGCGCACCCGCCGCCATCTTGACTGAGGGTGAAAACTGAGAGAACTCAACGAGGGAAGGCACTGAGGCGGTAATGCACTGTTTGAAAGACATAGTTTTTTAATATCTACAGAGACACTCGCTGGAACACCTCAGCAAGCAAGAGTCCAAAAGTGGCAGGCTCAAACTCAGAACCTCAATCAATGGCTAATACCAAATGAAAGACTTTCCTCTGGGCACACAGAAAACTGGGCAATTTGGAAGGCGCTGAACAGACTGCGCTCTGGCACCACGAGATGCAGAGCCCATTTTAAGAAATGGGGCTACAAAGTGGAATCCACGACATGCGAGTGTGGAGAAGAGCAAACCACTGACCACCTACTGCAATGCAACCTGAGCCCTGCCACATGCACAATGGGGGACCTTCTTGCAGCAATACCAGAGGCACTACAGGTGGTCAGCTACTGGTCAAAGGACATTTAATAGAATACCAAGTCTGCAAATTTTGTGTTTTGTTTGTTTGTTTGTCTATTTTTAAATGCAATACAACGGTTTTGGTTTGCTCCTGACACGATAAATAAATACTACAGCCAATCCCTCTCCAATGCCAGAAATACAGCTTAATGGTATAACACTAGAAAACGTTGATCATTTCTGCTACTTTGACAGACACCTCTCCATAAAAGTCAACATTGACACTGAAATGCAACACCGCCTGATCTCTGCGAGTGCAGCATTTTTCCGAATGAAGCAGAGAGTGTTTGAGGACCGGGACATCCATAGAGATACCAAAGTGCTTGTTTATAAAGCTATTGTCCTCCCAACCCTGTTATACGCCTGTGAGACATGGACTATCTACAGACGTCACATGCAACTTCTAGGACGATTCCATTAGTGCTGCCTCTGGAAAATATCTTGGGAAGACAAGCGGACAAATGTCAGCATGCTGGAAGAAGCAAAGACCACCAGCACTGAAGCAAGGGTCCTCTGCCATCAACTCTGCTGGGCTGGCCATGTTGTCCGGATGCCCAACCACTGTCTCCCAAAGCAGTTGCTCTATCAAGAATGGAAAACGGAATGTTGGTGGACAGGAAAAGAGATTTAAAAGATGGGCTCAAAGCCAACCTTAAAAACTCTGGCATAGACACTGAGAACTGGGAAGCCCTGGCCCTTGAGCGCTCCAGCTTGAGCGCTCCAGCTGGAGGTCAGCTGTGACCAGCAGTGCTGCAGAATTTGAAGAGGCAGGAATGGAGGGTGAAAGAGAAAAATGTGCCAAGAGGAAGGCACGTCAAGCCAACCCCAACCAGGACCGCCTTCCACCTGGAAACCAATGTCCCCACTGCGGGAGAACATGCAGATCAAGAATAGGGCTCCACACTCACCTATGGACCCACCGCCAGTACACTGATCCTGGAAGACTATCCTACTTGGACAATGAGGGAACGCCTAAAACACTACAGAATGAACGATGTTTGAAATCACTTTTGACTGCAATGGCTCCATTCTATGAAACCATCAGAGTTGTGGTTTGGAGAAGGACCAGGACCAGCCAGAAAGAGTCAAAGACCTTGTGAAACTACAACTCCCAGGAATCCATAGCCGTTAGAGTGGCATCAAACTGCACCTGGGTCTAAGTTTGCTTTGTTCTTTTAAATCAGGGATAGGGTAAATCTATGATCGTGGAACAAATGCAGTTTGACTTAACTTTTAAGTTCGGTGGCTCATGGGAGCTGTAGTTTAGTGAGACACCAGCTGTAACGAAACACCCAATTAAAGTATATGTTTTTGATATGTTTATTAATATTAGCTAAGAGGTGGCCAGAAGCCATAGCAACATAGCCACCAGGCAGAAGAACATTTTATTTATTTATTTATTTAAAACGTTTATATCCTGAGCTTCTCTACCCCCGTAGAGGGACTCAGACTGGCTGACAGCAAGAATTCAATGCTAACAATAAAAATCTAAAACAACATATATAATCAGTAGATTAACAAATACATATAAAATAATACATACATAAGGGGTGGAGCCAACTGTCACTGGAGAAAAAGAATGTTGGTTTAAAAAGAGAGTCAGTTGGTCACTGGAAGAGTTCAAGGATGGTTAGTCCTAAGGAGGTGGGACTAGACCAAAAGGTTTAGGCTCCTGACAGGTAGTCAGGAAGTGAAAGGTTGCATTGAATAGTGAGACAGGTGTTTACTCTCCAGTGTGGAGTAGTTAGGAGTTGGAAAAAGCCCAACTAAAGATTCTGGGACAGTTAGGGAGGCTGCTGGAAGCAGACCAGGAAAGTTAGTCAGTGAATTAAGGTCTGGAAAGAAAAAGCTGAGGAACAGCTGGGAAATTGGTTAAAGAAACAAGCTAAATATAGTTTGAAACCAATTCTTATGTATTGTTTTATGAAGAAGTGAATAGTTTTAGATAAACTCATTTTGAAACATTGTTCTGTAAGCAGCAAACAACTGATACTATGTAAACACTATGCGTATGACACAAGAATTGTTACAAATAAACTGAGTTTCATCTTCAAACAAAGCCTCTCTCTCTCTCTCGGTTAGAGATCTCAGGTAGTCTCTGTGCTTTCGTTTCAAATGGTGGCAAGTGGTGGGATGGTATAAAAAGGCCACCCTGCTTGAAGATTTGTTCTACCTTTCCCACCACATATTTAACGCTGGCAGCAGTGGGATTGAAAAATAAAACGTCCACACTGCCACGTGAAAGAACAGAGAGAGTTCCTCACATATTTAATGAGAAAGAAAGTCTCACACCAGCGTCCTATATTAATATAATATTAATAATGTTGTAATGTAATACAACATTACAGTACAATATCTACATCTATATCTATATCTATATCTATCTATATCTATATCTATATCTATATCTATATCTATATCTATATCTATATATATAATAAAGAAGAGTGTTTGTATCGGACAGAGGAATTGTGGAGGGCGGTGTATGTGGCAGCGTTCTGATTGGCTGCCGCTGTGGTGCTATTTGCATATGGTCTCTGATTGGCCAGCTTCAATAGGAGCCCCTGGTGGAGAAGAGTGTTCATGGCACCAACAGGGACATGAGAGAAGGAAATTTGCATATGGTCTCTGATTGGCCAGCCACAATTCCAAGATTCCGAGATGACAAAGAGAGGAAAGGAAAAGGCCAGGGGCTGGGTCAGAAAATAACCAATACAGACCAAACTTGGCACACAGAGCCCCCATGACCCACTACATCCTACTGCAGTTTGGAGGAGGATGAACCATGGATGATGGGACTTGCAGTACCATCACTCACATTCTGAGACCGCTGTTAACCTCATCCAATGACTGATCAGGACCAAACTTGGCACATAGACCTCTCATGACCCACTTTACGTCCTGGTGTGTTTTGGCCAGGGATGGACCATGGATTATGGGACTTGCAGTACCTTTGCTCAATTCCTGCAACCCTCATCCAATTACCGATAAAGACCAAACTTGGCACACTGAGTCTCCATGACGCACTCTACATCTTGCTGCTTATACATTTCCTCTTTCCTTCACTACTCTCTTCTTCTTCCTTCCTTCCTTCGTCCTTTCCTTCCTTCCTTCCCTCCCTCTTTCTTTCTTTCCTTCCTTCACTTCTTCTTTCCTTCCTTCCCCTTTCTCTTCCTTTCCATTCTCCTCCCTTCCTTTCTTCCTTCCCCAA